GGGGGAGTGGAAAACATGGGGAATAGGGTAACTAGAGAAGAGAGGCTTGGCTTAGACACCACTTAATTGTTGCACAATGCCTTTTTACAGACTATAACTTTGAATTGTAATGCAATTTATCTGCAACTTTGCATTCAGTAATTGTCAACAAACTTTATAGAATAGGAAGAAAATAACAGTCACTGTTTGTTAGATACTGCATTCCTATACCACATAACCTAAAATCCCTTGAAATATATATAACGATGAAACAGCCACCAATATTTATTGGTATATCATCAACCATGGGCAGCAATGGTGTCATATGTACCCCAAGAATCCATCATAATATTTTAAATCTCGTGTTATAAAGAGTATATAGATATCTTGAAAGTTATGACTCACCCTGGGTCTGCTGGTCCCAATTGAAAGGACCATCCTATAAAAAGCAAAGATACAAAAAATATGTTTACTTATCAAAACTAAAGATTTCAACCCCTACCACAGGTATCCCAATCTCAGGAAATTATATTCTAAATTCAATTCCTAGTACAAAGAGAGAAATTTATATTAATGGTATCATTGATTGATGTTTCTGCTTGATAAAAGCTATCACAAAACATAATCTATCTAAAATACTATTCTAAATTGTAAGATTTTCTTTAAGATTTTCTAGTTTTGAAGATCACTTATATTGGGCTACCTGTGGTGACAAGAGAGGGAAAAGTCCTCGAAGGCAAATATAGCCATATTTTAAAAGCCGTTTTTAAAAAAAATTCCATACAAATATAAATAAAAAGAGCAATGAAGGTAAAACACCAAACAAGAAAATTAAAAAAAAAAAAAGAAAAGAAAAACAGGTAAACCTTAAAAATAACGCTGTATGTTTATAAACAACATTTTACCTCAGCTGTGTCGTCGTCACTCGAATTCCCATGGTATATTCTACATTCGGGTTGTAACACTTTATTTCCTGACTGTTCAGCGAATGTCTGGTTAACCATAGCTACTAGAGCGACACTTAGATTAGCCCTCATTCCATATACAGTAATAAAACCACAAAATTGTAAAAACACCAAGACGTTTCGACAGCAAAAGAAGCGAGTACAAAAACTGATATTTTCGTTTGAGTTTGACTCCGTAGATCCGTCGAGAAGAGAACTTGTTTCATCGATGTGTGAATGATCTTCGTGATCCATGGTTTATGGGGTAAAAACGCCTCTCTAGCGCCGTGAAAAACCTAAATTCTTGCTGGATTCAACCAAAAATATTGGACAGGTTCCGGTCCTTGAAGGTTTGTGAAAACATGTGACGTGTGACGTGACTTTCATCACAGGAAGCCCATAAAATACATAACGCAATGACGTCACTTATTTAAAAGAACTGATGGGTCGTGCCCTGCCTCACCCTGCCTTTGTCCAGAGGTGGTTGTTTCAAGGTTCGATCTGAGTTAGCCTTGCCCTGACTTTGATTAGCCCAGAGAGTGTTTTGCAGTGGAGTTCGATCTGTGAGTTAGCCGTGCCCTGCCTTTGATCAGCCCAGAGAGTGTTTTTTCAGTGGGGTTCGATCTGTCTGGAGTCGATAGGGTTTTCCATCCCCTAGCTTTCCCAAGCTGCTTCCCATTCTCTCTATTTTTACAAGACTCCATCAATCCCATAGTTAAAGGGTGTGCTTTATTTCGATATCCTTGCCATTCCTTTCGGTAGCGCGTATTCCTAGCTCTCGTATTTGACTCTCAAAACTCCGTACATTACTTACGTTCAAGTAACGTACTTGTATCCACATACCTCCCTATAGACATTGGGCCTCTTTTACTCACATATTTATTTGGTATCGTTCCTGCTACACAATCGGCGGTCAGAATAGTTTATTTTTTTAAAAAGCGTAATAGGTACATCGTTTTACCATTATATTAATTTCATATAGCTTATCTAAAAGAAAAGCTCAGTCATAAGTGAGATTTAACTTTATAGGATAACAACCCATTATCAAAATGGGGAATATGGGTGCGCATTAATTGCTTATTTCCATGACCTCTGGAAAATTTTTTTAGAATAGTAAGGGTGGGGAGGGCAGGGAAATTGTTGCATCCTTCTCTAACCTCAATGAAAGACATATGCTTGAATGAGAGAAATAATGAACAAACTGCCCTACCCCACACTAGAGTACAAAATAAATATACCTTGCATATAAAATATATCCCAAATTAATGTTGCATATTTAATTGTAATACATGCAGTACTCCTAATCAAAATATGGCGACAAATTTGAATAACACTATTGTTTTGGACTGACTAGCCTCTCTTACATGTAAAAACGCCACGTGAACAGGAAGCTATAGTCAGTGCAGAACGATAGTTATTCAAATTGGTCAACATATTTTCATTTGGTGTATATTATAAAATTATCTTGGAAGCATGACCATGGTTCTGTGGCCAGGATAGTTGATGAATGAATGAGTTTTTGGCTTTCGTCATTCAAATAATTAAGGTGCTGACACACGGTGCAACATTGCACGCAACATTGCAAGAAACAAATTTGAATCGGGGTGACACATTGCACACATTGGCACACATTGCAACAAAATCACTCAACATCGCTTGTGTCAGCCTGCTATGTTAAGATATTTGGTCAGCAGTTATAAATTTGGTGCAAGCTGATTGGCTGGAAATTTCAAAACGTTGCATGTGATGTTGCAGCCATGTTCACATGATGAAATTTGTTACGCGCAATGTTGCAAGAGTAGAGCAGGATTCAACTTCAGATTTGTTGCATGCAACGTTGCGCGCAACAAGTTTGCGGTAGACACACGCTGCAACATTCCTGCTGCGTGCAATGTTGCATGCAATGTTGCACTGTGTGTCAGAACCTTTACAAATTTATGCCATTGAAGAACTGAAGGCAAAAAAGCCAAAAACTACCTCCACTGCTCCGTCTATTTATACAAACGTTAAGAATAACTTTACTTTGCCCGTAAAAAAAAACCAGTACAAAGCATAATACTTATAGTAGACACTTATTCCATTGTTTGCTTTGAAACCTTCAAATTAATTTAATCGATACCATAGCACAGACTGTGCTACTCTAGGTCAGGGCACGGATAACTCAGATGGAATTGGAATTTAGCAATATTTTACTTGGACTGCTGGACATACGTTTTACAACTTTGTTTTACGGGCCAAGTAAAATCACTCCAAAACGCTAATATTTTTCTGATAGTGATTAACGATATGATCTGAAGCCATTAAAAGACCTATTAAAGTTCCTATTACTGTTATTTTGGTCGTTGTATCGATTGTTATATCCTTGCGACCGGTCGTTGTACTGTCGACCATTTCCATATTGTCGATTACCGTTATACTGACGGTTTCCCCATGACCCCCCCTGACCGTACCCGCCTTGACCATACCCCCCTGAAGATGACTGCGTTGATTCGAGGAGTTCGGGGAGTTTTGTTGCTCTATGCAGGGTGGTTCCACGCCTATCTGTCCACGATTCCTGAAATCAAATGTCAAATCTTAGAATTTAAAATTTCCCTTGTTTTGGGAAGTTGCCAGCAGGAATGTGTTTACATCCAGCGCGCTCGCGCACACTATTTTGGTACCTTGGGGCACTACCTCATTCTTACCTTGATAGGGTAAAAAACTCAGGGGAGTAGAAAGAATTCGCTTCCTTCTTCCTCTTTTTTTGCTTGCCCGCGATATCTCAAACAAATATTTCAAACGCCTTGCCACGCCTTAGTAACTCGCCTGATCATCTTACCTTGATTAAGTTGTCGAGCTTTCTAGGTACGTCGAAAACGACTCCCTACCGAAACAAGACGAAAATTATTAGTTATATATTTAATTCCAGAGGAGATTCATGAGGAGCTTCAGCCTGTAACCCTTTCTTCTTTTACTCCGACGAAGGACTAGCGTCCGAAATGTCAGGTTTTTAAAATCTTTTCACGGTGCATAATTTACCTTTTTATCATTACTGTTTCATTAGAAACACCGACGCAGCTCACACTAGTTTTTAGCTAGTTATATCTCCTTTCTTCTGCACATGATTTATTTATGTAGTTATTGAATCGAAAGGAAGAATAACTCACCTTTTTATCACTAATAAGTCGCATTCCTCGTACTTCAGGCTTGACTTCTGGAGGCAGATTGTTTTCTATGATGCGCCACATGTACCCTGTCGATCTGACTGGTTCAGCAAGATCGCAAGTCATAATATACGTTGTATATCCCTATTAAAACAAATTAGATCTTTAAGTATACAACTCAAAAACAAAAAACAAAAAAAAACTCCTGGGCTGACAGACTGAATTGGAATCAAGTGTTAGGTTTTGCGGAGGAAGGAAAACCGGAGAACTCGGAGGAAAACCCTCAAATCAAGGGAGAGACCTAACAAACTCTACTCACATGTGATGTCGAGCCGTGAGTTCAGGAATCAAACCCGAGACCCCAGAGGTGAGAGGAGAGTGCGCTACCACTACGCAACCCTTGTTTCTCATGGGTAGAAATTCCCGAGTACCTGGTTCTTTTCCCCCCACAAAAAGCTGTATTAAATATAGTAAAGTGATTTTCCTCAGACCCTGAAACAGTTGCTACCAACTCGTGTAATAATCAAATAGACACAAAAGTAAACACTGGAATTAAGATTTACTAACTTAATCTATTCAGTCGACTATTTCACTGTCTGAGGAAAACCACTCGAATTCAATGTGAGAAAACCTATAGACTTTTACCTCTTGTGACGAGAGAAGAGATCGGGACTTGATCTCAGTCGTACCGGAGATTTGCGCCAAGGCAGCTGCTACAGCTTCTACAGCTCCCTTCTCTTTGATAAGCTTCTCGGCAGCCTCTTGAAAATGTTCTAACACGTCTGAAGGAATTTGTTCCAAAAATCTATAAAACACCAATGAATTTTGAAAATATGAAAACATATTGAAAATATCTAAATTCATAGATATTTTACGTTTGAGCGTAATTTTCTCCCATTTTAGAACACTTGTCATTCGCTAGAGTATCATTTCTCATTTCTTCGTTTAACGTTTACGAACGAGAAGACACATGAATATGGATACAACTCAAACAAAGAATATCATTCTCAAGAGAATGACACATGGTCTGAAATGGAAAAACATTATACCCAGTGTTTAGGGGTTTTTGGTGATAACGTCATCGCTGTTACTGCTATCGTTATGAGTGGAGGAAGCAAGAGCCCATGAAGAGTGATAAAAGGGAACCATACCTTCGAGCATCTTCTGCAGAAGCCTTTATGATGTCCGATGGCTGAGGTGCTCCGATACGAGTGAATTTAATTCCCTGAAAATCAAAGCATCAAACGAAAGAAATGATTAATTACGTAGTTTTAAAGTTTCTTACCATATTTGATTCACTTTAGCTCAATTATTCTCAACAACGGCATAAAAAATAGCCAAATCGGCACAATGATGGTCAGTCAACAAGTGTGGGATTATTTATGTTTATTTTCATTATTTTATTTTCTTACCGCTTTGCGTTCAACGTGTTGTAAGAGTGATTCTTGTTGTGGTTTGTAGAACACGATACAAATTCCTTCTCTATGAGCGCGTCCAGTACGACCAGAACGATGGATATAGGCATCTACATCCTGCAGAAAATTATAAACCATCAACAAACTCAAACGACAAATGTCGTTATGCTAAGGCTATTGCCTCTGGATAAGAAAAGATTGGAATGTAACTGCAAAGCGAATGAGTATCCATACCTTGGGAGGTTCACACTGTACAACTAAATCAATCTCTGGGATGTCAAGACCTCGAGCTGCCACATCTGTTGCTACTAAACAACGAAACTTCCCTTCACGGAAACTCTGCAAAAAACACACATATCATAATATGTAAGGGAATCATGATGCAGAATGTTAGTAAAAGGAATGCTAACATAAAAAGCCTTCCAGCCTTCCCCCAATTTCTCGCAATTAGAAGTCCCCCCCTCTCACAATTAGAAGCTAGTTCACCACTGGTATCAGATTTATGGCGTTAATGACACAGAAGAGATTGATCGGGAACAAAAGGGGAAAATAACCATTTTCTCTTCATCTTTTTCCCCTTTTAGTTATGAGTCCCCCAGGTTATAAGGCCGTCAAAAAAACTATTGCAAATGGTAATGCATGAATTTAGTGGCTAATGATACCTTAAGGGTGATTTCTCTCTGTTTCTGTGGAATGTCACCATGCAATACTTGTGTTTCCTAAAATAAGAAATTCAATATTATAATACTTAAGTAAAATACTCTTGCCATGCATGTGTATGTGCAAGATTCTAAAACATTGCTTGTTCGTTCTGCATTGATGCTTTGATAAGTCCACTTTAGTTTTGACACTTTATTTTCTATACAGAAATTAACTTTTCTCATTTCCATTGGATTAAGAATACCTTACATGCATTAATTTTTTTAAAAATTTTGGTAAGACAGTTTTTATTTATTTTTCCCTTACTTGTTTGAGAGAGGAATTCAAAGCTAGTTCATTGACATCTTTCTTTGTTTCTGCAAAAATTACAGTGCGGCCATGTGCACCACAATAAACCTGGGGGAAATGGGAGGAATGATAATTAGTGGAGTAGAAAAAAAGATGAACTGACTATCAAAATATCAATTGAAGATTCTATAATTACCGTTCTTTTCGTTGCTACGCGCTGATCGAGACAACAGTCCCGATAGGGAAATCGGGCAATACACTAAACCGTCAATCAAATAAATTAGTCAGTGCCTGCTATATTCTCTGATTGGCGGAAGTGTACATTGCCCTATTTCCCTGTTGCGACTGTTGTCTCGATCAGCGAGTAGCATTGAAAAGAGTGGCAATGAACTTATAAAATCTCTTTACCTGTACAACATCGCCAATAGTTGAAGCTCGTGCAGTATAATGACATTTGATTGCCATGTGCTGAAACGAAAAAAAGGATTTTCAGTAAAGCATGAAGTAGTGGATTCAATGCAAGTGGACTGCACTACCTGTCTAATGGATTGGAAATACTATACATACCTTGACTGTAACAGCAGTTTTCAGTTTATCATGCCCAATTAAATCAACAAGTTTCCTGTCCTTTTTCATGTATTTGGCTGCTGTTGTCGCAGCCCAGGGTGGTAAAGTGGCTGAAAATAACAATGTCTGTGGCTTGTCTTCTCTTTCCTTAACAAACGAGCCAGCAAGGATTTCCTCTACAGAGTCAGAGAACCCCATATCAAGCATTCTGTCCACTTCATCTAATATCACATGTCTGAAAAGATTATATGAACCCAATTAAACATGCTAAATCCCAACTCAATCTTTGAAATAAAGGGGGTGAAAATTGTTATTCGTTATACAGTCTTTTATATTTTAGCGTGCCAAGGGCCTATATATGTAAAACCTCTATGTGATATACCGTACCTCAAAGCGATATATATTCTTTAGGTAAAGCCAAGTCAAGTGATCACCATGCAGGCATAAAACCATATTGCTTAGAGGTATGGCATATCACATAGAGGTTTTACATATATAGGCCCTTGGCACGCTAAAATATAAAAGACTGTATAACGAATAACAATTTTGTCCATATCACCCCTTCATATATACATGTATCAACCAAGTGGTTGACTTAAGTTTCAGTAAAACTTATGCCTTGTTCACAAGTTGTCGTTGTCAATGAAATCTTGGAATATTGCACCTTATCCATAACTTTTACTAGCTCTCTATATAAAAGTCAATTCTCTCTAGATCAGCTACTGAACAGTAAAACAAGTACTTGTAAACTGTACTTACTGCAGCTTGCTTAAGTCAAGAGTTCCTTGTCTCATAAAATCAAGAATTCTTCCTGGTGTTCCAACTAGAACATCCAAACCATTTTTTATAGCATATTCTGAAAAAGAAAATTCAATTTAGGAACTTTTTTTGGAGCTCATACAAGTAACATTAAATATCGATAAATATTATCTTATATTAAACTTTGGTGAAGATAAGCTGGGATATGATAGGTAACTTTCAAGTTATTAATTAACAATGTATCTTTATTGCTATAATATAGTTTATAACAGTGCATACCTTGTGGGTCATAAGGCATTCCACCATAGATACAATACACATTCAGTTCAGATTTTAGATCTTCAAATTCTTTGCCCACTTGTTTAGCAAGTTCTCTGGTTGGTGCCATAACTAAAACCTAATAACGATATAAGCACATAAAAAACTTTTTCAGTTTTTAAATATATTCCTGTTTCAAAGCTAGAAGCTTCTGGGGCCGTGTATCCTCCATACACATTCCTTACTACATTAGAATATTCTATACACACAACTCCCAACTCAAATGTTGATTTTTATGGAGGGACGAAAACAAGAGAATCCAGAGAAAAATCCTTGTGGCATATAGGAGAGAAAATACATCAAACAAACTCAATTCACAAGTGGCAGCCGTAAGACTCAAACCAGGGGCTCAGCCCATGGGAATTGCAGCAGTGAAAGGTAAGGCTTAGCAGCATATGCCACTGATGCCAGCCATTAATATTGCACATTAAGCAGTCATGGCTATATTGGTGCCATTTTAACAAGATTTCTCCATAACCGCACCAAGATGACTGCCGTGGTTTTGTCCTTTGACTCTCTTGAGAATGCTTGTAATTCATTAATAATTTAATTTAAAAGTCAATGATGCTTACCTTTGGAGGTCTTCCTCTTGTCTTATCCAGCTTATTTAGCTGCAGTTTCTCCATCAAGGGCAGTGCAAAGGAGAGCTGAACAAAGGAAACAATTTATGAAAATTATCATCATCATCAGAAAAATCGATTGGTAATTTCTCTGTGTATTCTACAACATTAATACTTACTGTTTTACCTGTTCCAGTTCCTATGGACAATAAGAGATGCACTATTAGTTCTTTCATAATATTGGAAATTAACTAATTATATATACATTCAAGAAACTCTATCAGCTGGGTCGAACTGAGAGCATGTGAAGGTGCCTCTGGCAGCCACTATACAATCCAAATATGACCCTGGAGCACAGCTCTAACCAGCTTAAATTAGTTAGGGTTGATTTGAGAGGAGGGAGGAAAAACCAAAAGGGTCAGAAAAACCCTTGGAGTCAGAAAGAGAACCAACCAAGTCAGCTCACATGAGACGACTGGGATTCAAACCTTGGGCCTTAGAGGTGAGAGGCGAGTGTTTTACCACCCCACCATCCTGACTCCCCCGAGAAAACAGCATTCACAAGTGGCAAAACCTATGACTTACTTGCTTTGCCAATCACATCATGACCATCATAGATGTAATCATACGTATGTGCTTGAATTGGAAACAGATATGTAATGCCTCTGTCTATAGAAGAAACAGACAAAAATACATTGTTAACGATTCTGTTGTGCAGTCGAAAAACAGGAAAGAAAATATTATAAACACCAATTTATTTTACCTTCTAAAGTTAGAATAGTTTTTGGAGATATTCTGAACTTTGCAAAATTACCCTCTCTTTGAGCTACACTTATTTCAACCTGTGAAAGTCAAAAGTAAATCAGTAGTTGCTTGAAAGTGTCTTGTTAATCTTACTGAGAAAACAAATCAGTCTATTGGTAAGTGTATGTGTAGGTAGGCATCTTGTGTTTAACTACCACTGTACCAGTTATAAGTGCTAGGCTTACACTCATTCATAAGGGGTTTTCAATTGCCTTATGACTGAGCAATAGGAAAAAGAGTTTGGGATAAAAAGAAATGGTGATTTTTTTTCTTTTATTTTCCCAATCAATATTCTGTGTTTTCATTGCTATGAATGTAAGATACCAGAGGAGGGCCTATGTAGCTGGGGGCTTAATATATAACTGGAAAAATATTTGTGTTAGCAGACTAGCAGGCTTATAACCTGGGAGGGGAATGGGGGGGGGGGGGGGGGGGGGGGGGGGGGGGGGGGGGGAGTAGGGGAAGGCGAAGGCTCAAACCAGAATTTTACAGTATGCTAAACACCTAGCATAATCAATTGAATTATTTGAAAATCAAATTCAATTGAATACCATCACAGGATTGGATTCAATTGCATTCAGCCATAAAGATCGAATGCTAAAAAAATGGTGAATTCGATTCCATTTCAATCGAACTTAATCGAATGTACAATCAAATGTAATCTAATGTTCGATTGTGTTCAATTGGCTCCAACTTTTTTGTGAATTCGATTTCATTTGATTGCTGAATGGAATCGAATCCAATCAATTCGATGGAATCGAATGTTCGATTTTGTTCGATTGATAACGCTAGGTAAACATTATTCCTCTATGTCGACATGTATGATCTTTATGGCTCCATCCATTCCACAGGCATTCCATGAAAAGAGAATGGAACATCAACAGTAAAATACTATACTTGTAATTACCCCTTCATCAAGAGATTCCTCTTTAGCTTTCTTTTTCTTAGGAGCAACACTATCGCTCTCTTCAGATGAATGTTCTTCTAACTTGCGCTTCTTCTTTTCCTTCTTTTCTTCCTAAAGTAAAAACAAAACCGATAAAAAACATTTCAACGAGGACAAAGTTAACTACAACTATAAATATGGAAATAAATACTATTTAAGAGTTAGTCGACTATTAGAAAATGCAGTTATTGGTACATAAACTTAATTGTATATAGATTTTAGAGAAAGTTTTTTGAACATCAGCTGTGAAAATCCCAAATTTTGAAACTGTTTTTGTAGTAATCTGTAGAACCTGATCGCAACAAATCGTTTATAATTCTACAAATAATCTTGTACAGTTGCGATCAAATAAGAGAGAAGCACGAGAATTCTGCTAATTTTTAGTAAAATAAGAGAAATACAAAGACTAAACGTGTGTTTTGGTTTACGAACCACGTGTGTTTTGCCGGTCAACACTTTTTTACAAATTTCACCTTTAAACTATATTTTGAAGCATCTTTCGACTCTTTCTTTTCCTTCTTGTCTTTCTTGGACTTCTTTTTATCTTTCCTTTCAGCCATGATAGGAAAAAATCGTCAAAAACTGGAGATCTTCGTGAGAGAATTCTTGTTGCTTGTGAAGACAATATTGCGCAATGAGACTCAGACCTCCGCGAATTTTAAAATACCACAGGAAGCCCAAGCTAAGAGATTCGACTTTATTTTATATTTTCTAATAAAATCAAATAGAAAACAATAAATCTTAGCAGTCCCCTATTTCTTCTCTCTCTCTCTTTCTCTCTCTCTTGGCTATTCATTCTAATCGATTTTCTATATCTTTACTGCTTTATAAATGCGTGCAGTTGGCACCAACCAATAAACCGAAATTTGGTTCACATATGGCCAAGGAGAATTCTAAAAACAAGTTATAGAATTTTTTCACGCTTTATAAAGATTTTTTGAGAATTAAAATTTAATATACGCACTGAAAATATACACTTTGGGCTTCCTGTGATAAACCCATAAATTAGCTGTACTTCAGCATAAATTAATTGACGACATTAGCATAAATTAATAGCATCGTCCGATATATTCAAGATGGAGGATTCCTGGGAAGTTCTAGCTCTTCCTCCAGAGATCGAACATTCAACACTCAGCCAAACAAACGGCTCCGAAGCTAATAATTCCACACCAGAAGATGCAGAGAAGACCAAGGTTTGTAGCTTATAAACCTAGAGCAAAAATGCGGGTCACTTTCGAAGCTTATTTTTGCTTTGCTCGCGACTATCTTCTCTGACAGGATGAATTTTCTTAATTTCCTGTACTTAATGACACTTTGTTCTTGTATAGAAAATAAAATATCTAAGGCAGCATTTATTTCCTATAAGATAGATATATTCTTTTTTTAAATACCTCACATATTGGACTATATATACATTTTTAAAGTTTTCTCTGCGGGAAAAAACACTCGACTGTTATTGACATTCACTCAGTCCCGGACTGAGTCTACATATGTTTGACATTTTCAGTTTCCGTACATAATATATACCCAAATAAACTTGACAAATTAAACACTTTAGTTGGATCTTAAACGTTTAAACTTTATTCATTCATTCATTTTTGTTCTTGTTTAATATTTTAAATAATACCTTATTCATTTCGGTATAAATAATTGTTTAAGTTTATTAGAGTATTTCCGAGCGAGAGTATTTATAAGCTTTTATTAATTAATTATTAATGAAATCGATAGTTTATAAATACTCAATATTGTTTATTAATAATTTAAGGTATAATATTGAGCTCATAATACAGTAACTCCTATTTTGTAAATAGTTTAGTTTATAGGAAGCTTTTGGACGATTTCCTGGTTCAAAGGAAGTTGGTGACCTTTATATATGAGGTGATCAATGTTTTATCAGATTACGCTGCTCTGAACATCTAAATTTACATCCACCCATGCATAACAATAACTTAAAGAATAACGATTGATACAGTAAATATAGACCTTTTTTATTGTACACTTTCACTTCACGTTTTTTTCCACTTTTTTTTTATACCAAAGATTTTGCTACCATTCTTACTCTATAACCTCTGCTAAAATCGGTACATATATCTTTATTCTATCAAGCTATGTAGCTGATTATATAGCATGGCTAATCTGTGGAAAAGCATTTTTCCTGGCTATTTTCCTTAGGGTTAGGCTGCTGTTTCGAGAGATCAAACACTTGAAAAGATTAAACAATCGATTCTTGATTTGTTTACTTTATATATATACCCTTATTTAATGAGAGCAAATTCTGAATTGTAATGACCAAGTGCATAATAGCAATTCTAGTTGCCAAGATATGCTTGGTAGCACAAAATATGAAAGTGTTCTTGAGAAATTTTATTTTTAACAGGCGACTGAATTATTATATATACACCTACTTGCCAGAACGTTGTCATGCGAAAATAGAACGTTGGTGATTTAGTGGGATAGGGATTATATTAAAAAACAAAAGAAGATCACTGAAGCTGAACTTTTTCTTTTGTCTTTCAATGCATTCCTTTCTCACTAAATTACTAATGTTCTATTCTTGTATGTCAACCTTCTTGCAAGTAGGTGTATACCATTTTATAAACAAAATAGACATGTCAAAGACAAAACTTTGTCTTTGCACATAGGCTCGCTATAATGCAATTGACCACAACCCTCTTGAAAATGACATATTTTAAAAATCCTGGATCAGCAGTTATCTTAAACCTGTTCAGCTGAAATTTGGGTAGCCAATGTTATTGTTTTTAGTATATTTTTGGGATTAACTTTGCTTAAATTGATCCCATTATAATATCATTTCCTGTGTTCTGTATCAGTCTTGTTTCATCAACAGAAATATGCTAATTAACTTCCTAAGAGAATAAAAAAAGCATAGTGTTTTAGAGAATATTTTATGACTACTGCTTTCCTACAGCTGAAAATATTAGTTCTATTATCAAGAATTGAACCCTGGCTTGTGGTTTATCTAATGGAAGTTAGTTACAAAAATAATTATCAGTTCTTTTTAATTACTACATATTTTTGTTGTATTTAAAAAAACTGTATATGCTGCTTTAGCTGATTGATGATTTTTTGTGATCCATGACCATCACGATCACATGAACGAACTGAAATTCCTGTTTCCATCTTTCCATCTTAGGATATGCCTGTTTGCTTTAACATTTTAATTCTATATTATGAAGGTGCCATTGCTAGCCAAACAGCTTTTAAACCATTCTAGAGAGAGCTGATTGAACTAGTGATTTTATTTCTAAGGGTATTATCTCTAATTTTTTAACTAACATTTTAAATTATCTAATTCTGTTTCAGCAGAACACCCCAAAACTCTGTGGTTTTCTAAACAAACAAGGAGGTTAGTTACTAATGATAGTGTATGAATCTGAAAAGTAAAAGATTATGCTAAGGAACCTTCATGCTTTCATTATTGAAATAGAAATATTTTCTGGTTTCCATACTCTGAAATAGTCTCTAGATCTGGTCAGTCTAGGCTGATCAAAATCAGGGCATTAGCCAACTCACATGGTCCAACTCACACATCAAATTGGAAATAAACTTGTTCGGTTCTGTGGAGGGAGGTAAGCCAGAGAACCTAGAGAAAAACTCTTTTTTAACATATTTAACCTTTAATGTGATGCTTAGTCAGAATTGAGCCCAAGATCCAAGGGTAAGAAGTAGAAAATTGTAAGATATTAACTTGAATTTTTTTTCTTTTTTTTCTTCAGAAAAGGGCTTGATAAAGACATGGAAGTCAAGATGGTAGGAATAAAATTTTACTTTGTTTAATAATTAATATTTTAGAAAAAACATCCAATTTGTTAAATAGATAATATGTCATTATCTATAAATGACTACAAGTACATATACACTCATGCTTTTAGCTCACATGGCAATCATGTGAAGGGATTCTCCCTTCAGTTGTAACTTTAAAAAATATAATTTATTAATAATGTTTTCTAACATGCATAAATGCTATGTACATGAAAAATAGAATAATAAAAAATAAATCAGCTTTGTTTATAGAGGATTTAATCCTCAACAGTAATTCAACAGGGCCCAGTTGTAAAGCTGGGATAGCTTTATCCAGTGGATAAGTCGATGCTGTTATCCAATAAATTTATCCTGGCACTGGATAAGATTTATCCTTTGGATAGCGCTATTCAGGCTTCGTACAACCGGACCCTCATATTAAACTTGTGATCCTTACATACGTGTGTCTCTAATCAATTAGGGTTAATTAGGGGACCTCCATTTACTTGGTCATCCAAGCCACTCAAAGGTCTAACCATTTGCAATGTAATTACAAAGATAGCACCTTCTCCTCAGTTGTTGTAAGATCCTGAGTATTCTACATCCTGCACTAAAGACCAACACTCTTACCGACTGAGTTAACCAGGCGGCATTATGTTGCTATTAATAAATCATTTTCTATCTCATGGAAGTTCGTTTTACTAGTCAGATGGCAAGCATTATGTTTCAATAGAAATATACTGATAATGGTAACCGTTCTAATTTAAGATAACTCAAAATTTAAAAATATAAAATTTCTAATTTTATTGATATAGGGTGTGTTATTGATGTGGAATTGTGTTCATTTTTTTATTCCACAACATTAAAGGTTTGTCTATGATGAAGGCCGTTGCAGATTGTTTTATTACAGAACGCCACAAGACCATGTACCACTAGGGTAATGTTTTCATTTTTCAATTTATGTTTTTTCACTTGATATAAATATTGTACTTCCTCAGACCCTCAATCTCCACCCCTTGGAAATTCCAATACCCATCTCAGTGAGTGAGGTATGGATATTTTCTGAAACTTCACAATATACCCTCCTCAGGCCTTCCCCACTCCTTGGAAATTCTGATCTCAATTCATTTGGGAGCTATGGATATTTTCTAAAACTGCAAAATATACCCTCCTTACACCCTCCCCACCCCTAGTAAAACCCTTTCCATTGGGAAGGCATGGAATTTGCTGTAATTACACATGTATACCATAATATCATACCCTCCCCACCCCTCAGAAATTCCAATCAACACTGTGTAAACTCTTAGGCACCACAAAACCTGACATTACAGCTAGCCCACTGAATGAGGTTCAGTTTGTTATGGTCTCACTTTCTGTTTATCTTCTACATAAAGGATTTATATATACAATAGACCTTGTGTCATATTCTTGGGAATAAGATTCTTTGTTTGTGTTGTATCTATATTGCTTTGTCTTCCCATGCACGACCATTAAACAAAGAAATGATACTCTAGGGCATGACACATGGTCTGAAATGGAAAACGTTATGTCCAAGCTAAAAAGCTCTATTCACCTATTAGATCTGTTCTTTTTAGGTTCATTGATGTTGCTAATGCAACCCTCTCATTCCAAGTAGAAAACCCTGAGAGACTCAATCAGTTTGATATATGGTAAATACAGTAATATCTTACTGAATTATGAGGTTTCCATACTGCTAGAATATATGTTAATAATAATAATAAATTTAAGCTATCAACAGCAGCAGGGACAGACCCAGGATTTTTCCTATGGGGGGAGGTGAGGGGTGCACCTTCTAGGATTTTCATTTTAGGAGGGGGGTGCACACCTTTGGTGCACAAACTCAAACACCAATAATGCAGTAGATATTAGTTCATTGGAGGAGGGGGGGGGGGTGTCTGCTCTCCCTGCTCCCCTCCCCTAGATCCACCCCTGAGTAGATAGAAACTGAACATAAGAGTAAAGAAACTCCGAAAACCCTGAGTTCGAAATGGGATTCAAACCCATGACCCCCACAATCTAGTGGGATTTTTTTAACCACTAGCTGATCTACTAGAGAATCTATGGTGAGCAGAAGTTATCTGTGTGTGGTTTGACATACGAACTGCATCACTCAGTCCCATAGTCAAATTCGAAATACTATGCAATAATGGCTTAATGTTAAGCATCAGTAATTTGATTGAATTTTGAATCAGTTCACAAGATTAAATCATAAATCTATATTTTGGAGATACCTACCCATATTTTCTAGTATAGACCCCTCTTCAGAATGCAGCTCAATTTGGAGAACATAACAATAGGTTTTCAATTCTTGGAAGATAGAAATTCTTTCGTTTTGTCCTCCAATTTGAGCTGCCTTGACGTCTCATGAAACCTTGGGGTCTATTGTGCAATGACCAATTATTTGATATCATAGATCTTTATTTCTGTTTCCCTGTTCGTAGTGTTGCGGAAAGAAACTACCACCTCCAGGCTAAAGACAAACAAACCATGATGTTCTGGCTACAGCAACTACAGGTTGGAATTTATTCATTCCATTAAAAATATTGTCAGAATTAAATAATAATTTATTTATAAAAATATTTATAGAAAAGTCAATCAATAATGATGGTGATGATGTTGATAAAGATGATGGTGATGATGTTGATGAAGATGATGGTGATGTTGATTGATGATGATAATGACGATAATGTTGATGATGATGAGTATTTTAATGATAAAAAAGGATGGTGGTGGTGGTGATGATGATGGTGATGATGATGAAGGTGATGATGTTGATGGTGATGATGATGATGATGGTTTTGGTGATGATGATGATGGTGATGGTGAGGATGATGATGTTGATGTTGATGGTGATGATGATGAAGGTGATGATGTTGATGGCGATGATGATGATGATGGTTTTGATGATGGTGATGATGATGGTGATGATGATGATAATGCCTATAATTTTCATGATGATGATAATGATGATAATTAACTCTATTTATAGAGAATAGCACAAAATAGTTACAATAACTGAGTTAAACAAACCATTGTTCATGATATATTTTTCCTTATTTTAGGTTAAAAGGAGGGAATTCAGTAGAAGGCGCACTAAATTGGCCGTTCAAAAAAGGGAAGACAGTGTTGCAAACATGGTAAGAATAAAGTAGCAGTACGATCAAATATGAACGTTAAATTTTATATTAATTCAATACTTTTTCAATGTTGGTCAAAAGCTTGGCATAAATCTTTGTTAAACTTAGGGTTAAATTAGCATTTATAATATAAAGCTAGGTTATTTACCAGCCAGGAGTCCGAATATGGAAAAAGTGTGCCCGAGGTCTTGAATATAACTTCACCTTGCTTGGGGGTTAGGCGAAGGTTACTTTTTTCAAGGCCGAGGGTACAGTTTTCAATAATGAATTATCCTGACCAACTTTAGGACTTTAAATAACTTATCAATTTTTTTTTGCATATCTTCCCACTTGTTATGCAGTTTTTGTTGTTGTTCAATAACAATCCCTTAGCCCATGCACATGGTGGAAGACATAAGCATTTTGTCAGGATACCAACCCTCTCAAGCAGCCTATCAGAAATAATCAAAATTGGTTAAATTTATACTTTGCTGCAGCTGAGCACATTGAGAATTTCTTAGTTGGTACACTACCCTCTACAGTCACTTCAAAAATAAAAAGTAAATTAATGTAAAATTTCACAGCAATCAACAGGTGGATTGATAGAGCAAGAAGAAAAGGAAAAATCAAGCCAGGACAAACCAGGTTGGTCTAACTTGCTGTTGAAAATTACACACAGGTCCTAGTATAGCTCCCAAGATCATTTATGGTAAGCAGGGCACATGAATTTAAAACGTAACATTAGAATTGAACAAACTTGAATTTTTCTAAAGAACTTCATGTTAGCCTGCTCTTTAATTGTGTACTTCATGACCAGCTGGCATGTGTCAGTCGATTATCGCCTGACTGCTGACCAACATTTGCCCAACACTTGACCGTCACTTCCCCAACACTTCACTACAATCGTTTTGCCTATGTGTACCCTTTAATTCTTCTGGGTCTTCTCCAAACTCTCTAAGGAAGTTTGAAAAGGACTTACTAGAATAAACAGAAGAAATTCAGACCTTTGTACTTTTGACAGAGTCCAACAAACCAGAAGTCCAAGTGATGGAACCAGTGCCTCCCCCTGAAACAGTAGGACAAGAAGCAGCAATGAAGTCCCCGTCAGGAGGGGGCATGTTCAACTTGTCATTGACCAATATTAGAACAGAGTTTAGAAATATGAGGTAAGGAAAGTATAAAATGAAAATAAAAAAATTAGGAAGGATAGAAGGAAGTACAGAAGGAATGGGTGTAATGGAATTTAAAAATATATGTTTGAATAATAAATAAATAAACAAACAAACAAACAAAGAAATAAATAAAGGAATGATGAAAAAGAGAAAAACAAAATTCATGAATGAGAATAAGAAAACAAGGATGGAAGAAAGAAAAAAGGAATGAATGAATGAACAAATGAATGAATGAATTAATGAACGAATGAATGAATTAAAGCAAGTAAAAAAAGGAAGGGAAAAAATAGAACAAATGAATGACTAAGAAGATGAAAAACTGAATGACAAATTTAACAAATTGACATCAGTTTTTATGTGTCTGTCCTCTTATTGACAATAAATTGTGTCATCACATTGTCAAAGTAGTGTGGATCCATGAGGCGTAGCCGAGTGGTTCAGTATATATATCAATATACATATCTTTGTGGATCCACACTAGTACTTTGGCGATAGCAATTAAATGATAAAAACTTCTTGTTTTTACTGATCAAAACAATCAAAGAAAAGAGTGCATGCTTTGTCTGTCTGTCCTCTTATTGATGATAAAAAATAACCAATCAGCGTGCGAGAAATTAGTGATTTATTGTACAAATAAAGTGAAAAATATAAGGAAAAAACAAAGAAAATCCAGCAAAATAGAAGTGAAGAGAGGGAAAAGATAAATGCAATTTAAACCTGTTGAGTAAAATAATCAAAAGTAATCCACATCTCATTCCCTTGTGCAGTACATTTATGGAGGCTTTGCACCATCATGTGATGGCAGCCATGACACGAGGCAGGAACAATTGAATCTGGTCTAATGTGATTTACATGAGAAAGAATTCAGTTTCCCAGGGGAGAAAGGCTCTATTGTTGTGCCTCCTGTCATGGCTGCCATCACGTGATGGTGCAAAGCCTTTATCATAAGTTTTTGTTTTAGTGCCAAAAGGGTTTCAACTTTCTTCTCTGGAAATCAAAGCTTAAATATCCCTCAAGTGGTGACAGAAGAAGTACATGATGATGGTAAAACAGATCAGGCTACAACAAGAAACAACCACACTCAGGAAGGGAGGACAGAACTACAACCGCAAAAGTAAGAAGGGAAAAGTTGCTTACTGTAATTTTCATAAACATGTGAACACTGTGTCTCTGAATTGCGCGTTGAAATTTGGTTTTTCGCTGCATCAAATTTACAATAAACATCGTGGAAACATTGAGATAATGATGATGTTTTTCAAAACTTTTGGGTTTGTTTTTAAATTCCATCCATCCATTCATTTTTCCCTTCCATCCATTCATTTATTTTTTACTTCCATCCTTTCATTTATTTTTTGCTTCAATCCATTCATTCATTTTTCCCTTTCTTCCATTCATTTATTTTTCCCTTCCATCCATTCATTTATTTTTTACTTCCATCCATTCATTCATTTTTTACNCCCTTTCTTCCATTCATTTATTTTTCCCTTCCATCCATTCATTTATTTTTTACTTCCATCCATTCATTCATTTTTTACTTCCATCCATCCATCCATTTTTCCCTTTCTTCTATTTATTCATTTTTCCCTTTCTTTCATCCATTCCTTTTTTCCATTCCATCCATTCATTTTCCCTTCCATCCATTCATTTATTTTTCCCTTCCATCCATTCATTTATTTTTTACTTCCATCCATTCATTTATTTTTTACTTCCATCTATTCATTCATTTTTTTACTTAAACACATTCATTCATTTTCCCTTCCATCCTTTGTCAACCATCCAGTTTGTTAACCACCTTGTTATTAAACATGTATGCAGTTCTTTCCATAGCCACATCAAGACTTTAGACAAGGACAACACAGCCGAGACAACCCAACCAAATGATGATAAAACACATATTACAACAAAGTAAAAATTAAAATTTGTTCGAGATCAAATTCATTTATACACTCTAGTCTATTCAGTACAGTGTAGTTCCAGAAAATATCCATACCACCTCCATGGAGGGAATTTGTAAAAGGACCCCCCTATCCCAGGAACTTCCAATTTTCTTCAATACAAACTCTGTAATTTTGATCTTACACTAACCCCCCTCCCCTTTAGAATTTCCAACTCCCTCCGTGGTTGGGGTATGGATATTTCTGGAACTACACAATAATAAATATTAATACTAGATTCCAAGGGAATTCAGACAAGTATATATAATTTATTTTATTTTTTCTAACCCTAAAGATAGATATTGGATATAGTAATATATAATTTATAGAATAATTTTTGATTCAATTTTTCAATTTTTTTATGCACTTCTCGTGGCAGTTAAATGCTCTTCTATTTCCCTTAATTTTTTCATCTTTTTCACAGTTACTGTATTTTGTTAATCAAATTATTACTATTTTCATTGCTACATGCTGATCGGTGTTTTGAAAATGTTTTTTACATCCATGGTGAAATAAATCAGTCTTTAAATTATTGTTCAATTTTTTAGCTCAAACACAGAGGCTGGGACATTAGCAGGAACTTTACGAAGGTATTATTAATAAAGGACAACCGGTTGGCTCAGTTGGTAGGGCGCCGGACTATTGTGCGGGAGACCGGGGTTCGATTCCTGGCTGGACCAACACTCAGGGTCTTAAAATAACTGAGGAGAAGGTGCTGCCTTTGTAATTACATCTGCAAATGGTTAGACGTTCGCATCTTCTCGGATAAGGACGTTAAACCGTAGGCCCCGTCTCTCCACACTATCTAACCCTATATAAGAACCACTTAGGACATAATAAAACCCTGGCAGTGACCACCCTCAGTGTCTGGCCTTTACTAATGATTTCTTAACGGGTTGATTTGTGGGTTGGGTTAGGGGTTTTGAAGGGGTGGGATTGGTGTATGTACCTTGTAGGGGACCTCGGGTCCTATTGTGCTAAACCAGCCCTCGGGCAAATTCTCAAATAAATATTTTTTCTAAGAAGCTTCAATATTGTCTATTCCCATTTTCTCACATTTCTTTCTTAAATTGTTTCTGTTCTTTTATCAGTTCCTAGAATTTATTTCTGTGAAAAAAATCTGTTTATTTTGGAAATGTGTGGGTTTTCCATCCTTTTTTAGACATTTTTATGGTTCATGCTTTCTTAATTTGTTTCTTTCCTTTCTTTTCTATTTATTCATTTATCCCAATTTTTTATTCCAGAAAATTTGCAGCAAGTAGATCTTCAAGTGCCCCAGTTAATCCCAAATGCCTGGAATGTGAAAGGGTAAGCTTCAGTGTATTTTAATTTAACTTTATTCTTATGACTATATACCAAATCAAAATACGATGACCAATTTCAAAATTATTAAATATTGATTGTTCTGGACTGACGAACTGACTAGCCTCTCATACATGTGAAAACACTTTTAAATAATATTATCAAACTCATTAATAATTCATGAGGAAAACACAACAGAAATCACGACCATGAAGAGTGTTGTAAATCTGATACAAAACTGTGTTCATTTGCATTTACTTTAAGTTGGATTTTCTTGGCCAAATTCACTTTAATTTTGAAAATTTTAGTGAAACACAAAGGAACTAACCTAGATGTTTGATAAGTCATATACAGTATTCGTGTCCGTGTTGTATCMGATATACAAACTCTCGGCTACGCCTCATGGTTGTATATCTGATACAACACGGCCACTCATACTGTATATATTACATAATAAATAATAATAAATAAAAATAAAAATAATGGGATTAACTTACGGTGTATTCCACAAAGTGGCTCGTCAGTCAGTCCAGAACAATAGTAAGTTATTGAAATTGGACGGCACCCTATTTCAACTCATTGCATAATACCAGAAACCTTATTAATAATTATCAATATTTTCATTATCTTCATCATAGTTGCATACGATGTTAGATACTAGTGAAGCACAACTAGAATCAGCTAGAGAGTAAGTACAAACCTCTTAATTAAATTGCATATTTACCTTCATGGATAAGAAAACTTGTTACTGTCATTCCATGAAGTGGAAGTTTTGAGTTGAGAGTAAAACCGCCCTTAAACAGGAGAGTACCAAAAAACAACAAAAAAAAAAAATACGGAAATGAAGAAATAATAGACAAAGAAACATAAAGTGGTTTAAGAATCCCAACTGGCAAGGAGGCAAACCAGTTGGCTATTAACAAGCATGGTTGAAAAACTGAATCTGCACTAATCAGAAATCAGGATAAATGCAGTCTCAGCTAGTGTCCACAGCGGGACTCGAACTCAGCACAACTGGATTGTGAGACTGACACTATGACTACTCGACCATGCTGCCTCCTCTGTTCTGTCTGACCATCCTTAGTAGAGAGGGGGGTACAAAAATAGAAAAATTCCAGGACGTGTCAGCCTATTTTTGGGATGTCCCCCTTCAATAAATTTGAACTGACCTTTGGAATTTGGAATTCGTTTTCTTCCACAGAGAAATAACAGTGAGACAAGAAGTGATCCTCAATTTGCATGAATTACTAAGGTGAGAAGGGCATTTGCTCTGTAAGAATTACTTCCTTATATATGCTTCAGTCCAAATACAAAAATTTAAGATTTTGTTACATGATATTGACTGTTTTTTTTTTTCCTTTTTTGTTTCACTGTAGACGGTTTCAGCTTGAAAAAGAAGAAAGGTAAGCTGTTCACTCATTCATCCTTTCATCTTTCCCATCCCATGCATTCATTCACTTATAAACCCATTCCATTGATCTATTTCATCCATCATTCTATCCATATATTCATGTATGGTTTATGCATCCACCTATCTATCCCATCCCATTCTTTCCCATTTATCCCTTTATCCATCCATTCATCCATCATTCCTGCCTGCCATTCTTTCTGACTCTTCATTAGGGGAGTTAGCCTTGCCTGGCAACACTTATAGCGGCTGCATAGGAGACTACCTATCTATCTATCCATTGCAAACTAAAGATTAATTTGTCTAACTATTCATTTACACGATATTTTCAGCCTGCAGTCTGATCAAAAGAAAATGGAAGAAGAACTAAAAACAAACACAGCTTACACAAGAAAAGTAAAATATTATTAATACTTTATAAATCAAATGTCATTAATTTTCTTTTTTCACCTATGTACTCCATGTAATTTAGTTTCTCAATGAGGTTATGCTCTTGGGGTTAATACAGTCAATTCAAAAAACGTTGTCGTCGACCGGCACAAGCCTACGCGACTGGACCGAAAGGAATATGGGTAAAAATCACTGAAGCGGTTAAATATTCGTTCTGAATTGATTGTCCAGCTAGTAATAAGATAATAATGGCAAGAAACAATCCATCAAATGCATGTCTTTGGGTTTAGGTAAAGAAAAATAAAGTAGTTATGATTCAGTTCACAATTTCGAAAATATGAAGGCATTAAAAAAACGTCTCCTTAAACACTTCCCGCTCGCCTACGAAGGTTCATGCTGTAAACCAGGCATAACTAGTCAGATAAAATTATGGAGTCAACTTGGCTTCAATGATTGCTACCCAGAGTTCCTCTCGGTCCAGTCGCGTAGGCTTGAGTTGGTCGATGACAACGTTTTTTGAATTTACTGTATGTGATTGAATATGTTTAAGAAAATGTTATTAAACTTGTATTTTATTTTTGTTACATTTTATTTGACAGCTTGAGGAACAGTTGAAACAGTTAAAGGAAGAACACGAAAGCTCTTTAAAGTAAATATTTCCGTATCAAAATCTTGACTTTAAAAAATCGTTTAAAACCTTGGGCACGTGTCATTCCCTTGAGAATAAGATTCTTTGTTTCAGTCGTATCTATATTCATGTACAACCATTATATAAAGAAATAATACTCTAGGGAATAACAAAAACATGGTCTGAAATGGGAAAGCATTACGCTCTAGGTAAAGAGGTCTACTTGACTAATTTCATTATGTCTAGCCTTGTCTCTATGTTCATCAATACCCACTGGACCAATTCCACTTATTTTCTTTGTGCATGAGAAGACACATGAATATGGATACGACTCAAATGAAGAATCTCAAGGGAATGACATGTGGTCTGAAATGGAAAAACATTACACCCAAGTGGAATTAGTCCTTATAAAAATGTGATCCTAATAATCATTTGTTGTCAATGATGGTAACAATTCCAGAGAGAAGGACATTCAGCTTTGTGGACTAATGGAACAGATCCAGATGTATCAAGAAATGACAGCAGTAAAAGACCAAGTTGTAGTTTCTTTAACAAACCAGGTAATATTGCCACTCCTAGTTTTATCGAACCCCGAAAAGACAAGAAACAGGATTTATAAAATAACTGTTATAAATATCGTGTTTTGATTGGTTGGGAGTGCATGCATTATGAAAGCACACAGCACGCATACACACTTGCTATTTTGTAGTTCATGTCCAAAATACAGTAATTGCTACTCTTACTGAAAATATTTGTTATGAATTGCTGATATCGCTTGCTGTGCTGTGTGAAGTTATATAAAAGCACTTGGGGATTGGCAGAAGTGTTGAGAAGTATTCCTCCACACTCCTTGATGACCATTTTCTATTTCTTCAATAAACAAAAGTACACACCAAAGTGATAAGAAAAAAATATTTGGCAGCAATGAAAAAAGGAGGCAAGGAGAGAAAGCATGGTCGAGAATTTTTTTCATATTTTTATTTTGCTTCTTGCTAGCTTCATAACCTTGAAAGTATGTACAAGAACCGTGAAGGAGAAGAAGTGGGCGAAGAAATTGAACCTGAAAGGTTAGACAGTATAAAAGCACTCACAAAGGGCCCAACATTTGACCCAAAATTTAGACAACATTTGTCGGCAGAATGTTGGTACAATGTCGTGTTGTGAAAAACCAGCGTGACAAATGAGCCACACATTTAGCCAACATTTCCAATGATTTGATGGAAACCTCTAGCTTAAATGCGCATGTTGGTGTGATATTGTGGAAATGTTTAGTTGAAAATCAAAATTGTGTTACTCAAAAAAAAAAAAAAAAAAAACATATCCCAACTTTGTTGCATTGGCAGACCTTGACAACCAGCCCCCAACATTTTGACTCTACTAATGTTAGCTGAAAGTTGGGTCCAATGTTGGGACCGTTTTTCAGGGACTTTAGCATTTCTCTCTCCCCCTCTCCTCCCCTCTCGTTTCGTATCTTTCTCTCCTGATACCAATGTTTTCATTAATTTCAGTCCATCATTTCGTGAGAGAGAGAACATAAACAGTATACACGAGATGGGCAGAATCAAGGAAGCCTGTCAGGCATACGCTTTGCAAAACCGATTCCTTAACAGTGAAATTTTAGAATTAAATCGACTTCGACAAGATGATGAAGAAAGACTGCGCCTACAAGCAATGTAAGTATGACTAAGGCTGACTCCATAGGCTTTTGAAATACATGACTAATGCATACAGTGATATACCTAACGATTAGCCACTCACATTAATTTCATCAATTCGATCTTTGGATTTTCACCCCATTTGGATCCTAGTTTTGGTGTGATTGTCCCAGATGATTGTCCAAGGTTTTTTCATGGAATGATCCCTCATAATGTTACCAAAGGATTACAGTACGATTTACTTTTTCTAGTCAAAAAAGATAACGTGTGCTACAGACCTTTTTGCTGACAACGTCCAAATACAAATGCTTTAAGTTGCGGTATCGAGCAGTTGCAGTATATGAAGCCATCAGACTCAATAGAGCGATAAAAAAAAAAGACAAAGGGGTAGACAAAGGAGTTTTTTGGTGACTGAAGTGTTGAATACCTTTGTTATTTTGATTTGTATGCAGTAAAGTTGCAACTGCTGAAGCTGAGATCTGTAAATATAAATCCAAGTATCTTTTGGTATTGAGAGAATTCCAGAGACCAAAGCAAGGTAATGGTTATCAGCATCATGCTTCTGTATCTTTTGTATTATTATCACCATCAGCACCATCACCATCTCTACCACCATCAACAGTATACTCATCGCCCCCACTACCACCATAAACACTACCAACACCAACATCACCATCACCATCATCACCTCCACCTTGATCATCCTCATCGCCACTACCACTATAACCAGCACCACCACCACTTTTATCACCATCACCACCACCAACCATCTCTACCACCATCACCACTATCTTCATCCCCACCACTACTACTACCACAACCACTACCACCACCATCTCCACCACCATCACCATCACCATAATCACCCTCATCACTGATACCACCATCATCACATGACTATGATCACCAGCAGTATCGTCATTATTTCATCATCTTTAATTTTTGCTCAAAATGTAGCATAGTTGGGATAACTATTAGTACATTTTTTCTTACATAAGGTTCAGAAAATGCTGGCCCAGATGATGAAATCATTAATCGACTTTTACAAGATGCTATGGAGAATGAGTCACTAGATAGAGCTACATTGTCCAGATCAGTGTAAGTACCAAACTGACTGGACCAGCAAGGGTGGAGTGGGGATGTCCCTCTTACCAGCATGGGTGGGGTAGGGGATGACCATCTTACCAGCATGGGTGGGGCAGGGGATGTCCCTCTTACCAGCATGGGTGGGGTATGGGATGTCCCTCTTACCAGCATGGGTGGGGCAGGGGATG